AGTTCTCTTCCCTGTGATTCAGAGTGCGATTTTTAAAAGGTAGGTAAATTTTTACAGTTTAATGATTTCACATTATGATGCAATCCAAACTCTAGTAGAGTCTAGCATTCTAGAGTCTCTGCTGATGGTTTATAAATTGTTAGTTGTCTCTAAAGAGTATGTCCATATATCTATAATACACCGATTGCAACATTTGCAGTCATGGACTAGATGCTGTCTGTGTGAACTTAGACCACCCACTGTCTGACTCACAGGAAAGCTTTTATTTGCCTGTTGCAGATATATCCCTATAGCCAGCCTGGCCTTTTTCCAAGAAGGTACTGACCGATGCCTGCTCTACATACAATTCTTGCCTTTTTTGATGGGGAGAGGAATGGACCATATGTGGCTAAAAGCTACAAAAAGTCTATCCTCTAACACAAGCCTCTTCCTTCCCTGTGCCAGGAAGACCTTTCCAGCGGTCTTCCTGGACCATGCAAAGTTCAGCTCTACTAACATGAGCTGGGAAGCTGGACAAAAAAATGGAGACTCACAGTGACTTCCTCTTTCCTTTTCTGCTCCTGGAGGCAAACAGCAAATTGAACTTGGGGAGAGGGAGAGGGAAGGGAGAATGGGAATGAATAGGAGAATTTCTTCATTCCTATCCCTCCTCTCTGCCTTGGTTTCAGCCACTACCATAACAAACAGTAACATATGTTTCCAGGTAACCCAAGAGATCATAAGAACAGCACTTTTGGACTATCTTTTAGGGGCTCTTCTGAAATATTCCCAGAGTTATGCTACTTTTTCCAACAAAATATTTCTCCTTCCTAATTCAATTCTCCTTTCAGTTTGGAACCACAAACAATGATAACTTTTATTTTCTTTTTTGATATTGAATCAGTTTGCAAAGCACTGGAATTGAGTGTGTTTTAAAATCTCAGGTTGGAGTTCTTAGAATTCTGAGCCAAGTCCATTCTATTTCCCATATGCTCACAGGAAGTTTGAATTGATGTCATTAGAAATTTGTGTGTGTGTGTGTAAGCCTGAGAGGGGGAAAGGTATTTCCCATCATATCTACTGATTTTATCATTACTTGTGCCAAGCTAATATTTGCAAGTGTACAATACTGATGAGCCAGGCAGTAATTCCTATCTTTTTGTTTGCATTCACTATTTTGAAAAGACTAGCCCCTGTATGGGGGACATCAGTAAGTTTCTGTTAGACTCTGTTTCCAAATCATACAGCTTTCTACATATTTTCTCACACCTTCAATATGCATAGTTAGGGTTGGGGATATAGCTCAGTGGTTCTGCTGACTGCCTCGCAAGTGCAGGACCCGAGTTTTGTCCCCGGTACAAAAACAAACAAACAAACAAAAAACCCTTCTTCAGTATGCATAGTTACATCATCAGGATTGATACTTAATATCAACTCAGGAAAATTATTTATGTTTCATAATTTGTACTTCAATTTTGGAGAAAAATTGATCAGTTTCCCCCATTTGAGAGAGGAAAAATCCTTTTGCATATGACAAAAACATCTTCAGTTGTGAAAAAGTATGTAGAAGGATAAAACAAAACCCTGTACAGTGAACACAATTCCACAAAGATTCACTGAATTTCTGGTACAGGAGAATCATGTCAGTAATGCATGTGTGTGTGGTTTGGCTAAACTCCACAGGCACCCTGCCACCTGATAGCATGCCACCCTTCACTTCATTTCACCTAAACTCTAGTATTTAACAAGAGAATATATAACCATTTATATGTGTCTAACTTATCCTAAGATCCCATTACCTGTCTTTGACTTCTTTCAGTGCAGGAATGGAAAGTGATGAGTTCAAGCAAGTTAATACATTCATATACCCTCCTTCTCTTCTTTTTCCCCTTGTTTATGTCTGTCCTGGTAAAAATCTGTTTTCTTTTGAGCTCTTGTTTGTATTCTCCATACGATGTTTGGCAGATTCCCATATGACTTTCCTGTTCTCATCCAGACAAGATACAGAATAATTTCAAAGCTATAGGTCTCATCACGTTCCATTCCTTAAAGTGCAGCATGTAATATAGGACTGACCCTCTAATCTTAGTGACTGCTCTTGTTGGATGAAAAAATCTAATTTGACTGTATCAGCCCCTTTGGTTACCACAGATATCTACACTCCCAGTGGCCTTTTTAGTTTCCAAAGTGTTGCTTACTATTCCCCACCATCACAACAAATGAGCAAAAAGAAATCCAGAAAATTATAAAAGCTCTTAGCAATTTTTTAGTTCTAAATTAGTCACAAACCTAGCAATTGTGTACAAGATAGATCTTTTGCAAAAGAGAAGGAAACCAAGACATGGAAGGAAGGGTGTGGAAGAAGATGAAAACAGAATTAAGCTGTGTCGTGTACGTTTACCAGCTGCTCATGAGAAATGTAATCATGATGTACTGCAAGTATGTACTAATCAAAATACAAAAGAAAGATAAAACATGAGAATATCATTCTGAGTTTACTGGGAAACATTTGGAAACATTAGAAGTGGATTATCATTTATCTACATTATGAAAGTCAATTAGCAATTACATGCCAAATGCGTTATTCTGTGAGGATTCCACATCAAAAAGGAATTCCAAATGCAGCTTTCAGTAATCAAACCAACACAATTGTGTAAAATTGTTTATATTCTCTTTATTCCATAATATGAGCCAGTTATTTCTGTGCTTTTTGGCTAAGGCTGTATTCAACTAATTACTAATTTCACAGGGCCTATTTACTATGCTAATGCTTTCTCCAAATATTTCCCTGGTGCAAATTAAGGCAATTATTTTATTGGAAAATTTTTTCTAATATCTTGGCTCTCTGTTCTGTCTCATTATTGTGATTGTAAGCTACTTATCAAAAATCAAATGCTATTGACTGTGCTGACTGAGTTACATAGCATCCAATTTTTTTTGCCTTGATTTCCATCTATCTTAAGTGCGGTCTACATTTTTAAAGTACTCAAAACTTGTTATTTTCCACGGATTTGTTTTCATTGCACAATTTTTAATATCTACACTTATTTAATATACTTTATGGTTTCTTGCATACATTCATTTCACTCACAATGGTTTTTTTTATTTCAAAACAGCTTCATTTATAGACCAGAATTGCAGAAATAATAGAGAATTTCCCTACTGATACAGCCAGTTTTTTTGTTTTGTTTTGTTTTTTATCATGGCTAGTTGGAGTCCTATATGCCTCACTTATCTGTTAGATTCTTTTGCTCTCTTTGGGAAATTTCTGTCATTAATTCTGTGAACAGTTTTTTATGTCATTTGTACTTTCTCTTGCATTTTTGTGTACTCCTATCAATCTTATATTCTTCTTTGCATCATCTAGGAGCTGTTGGTTCAATTTTTCATGGTCCCTTACTGTTTTTAAGAGATCTCTCTTTTCATGGCCACTGACCTCCATACTGTCTTCTATGTCTATTCTTTCTTCAGATTGGCACATTCTGCTGTGAATACTTTAAATAGAGTTTTTAATCTCCTGGATATCTGTTTGAGTCAATTTCATGGTTTCCATTTCTTTCCTATACTGGGCACCCATGGCTTCTAACATGGTCCTGAGCTATCCATTTTTTTAAATGTTTCTGTTCTAGAGTCTCTAATCATGTCTTTCATTCTGCTCACCAGCTCTGTAGTTATCTGGGAAATTATTTCTGTTTTCAATTTTTCTAATGTATTGACCTATTTTGTTACTTCCTGTGCTTTCAATACAGGATGTCCAAGTGGTTGATTATCAGACTTTTCCACCTCGTTTCTCCTAGAATTTGCCTTTGGTAAGCTGAATGTCTGTGTTTCTGCCTTGCATAAATGTCTTCTCATTTCTCTTTTCATTGCTGGTACTGTCCTTGTTTCAATTCCTGGGTTAATACTTCGATCTTCCTGGTATAGCTGGACTTTAGGTTTTGAGTTTCTAATGACTCTGAGACAATCTCATTTTCATAATACCATGAAGGACAACTGATTAGATCAATCACAACACCTTAGCACTAGTGATACAAAAAGCTACACTATAGCACCAAGAACAGCTTGGAAAATGACAATTTGTAGTAGTTATTACTCTATCACCTATAACCTTGTTAATTAAAACAAAATCAAGGACCATCCCCAACTGTGTTTCTAGTGAATGAATTTTTCAACTTTACCCTTCAGAATAGGGACTTAGAAGGGGTTGGGAGACAGATAGGTAGAAGGATAGAGAAAGGTTAGAAGTGAGGCCAGAGGACACAGGAAGATCATGCTAACTGCAAGAAACTGCTAAAAACAAGAGGAAAAGACAGAATGAAAGAACAAAGACAAGAATAGAACAGCTGAACAGCAATAGGGAAGCCAGAAGCTATACTCACTTTCCTGTGAAATTAATTACAGTCGAAGAAAGAAAATGAAAAAGAAGAAATCTGAATTAGGGAGGAACAGGAACAAAAAGGGAGATGAACAATGTGGGGGAGAGAAAGGGAGAGAGACAGAGAGAAAGAGAAAAGAAAAAATGAGAAAGAAAATGTTTTGAAGAGTATAAAAGACAAACTAAAAATTAAAAAGAGAAAAAATAATTTTGAAAATTAAAAAAAAAATTGAAGGGCCTTCAGGGTATGTCTCTGCTGTCACGATAGATAACATTGGCAAGAGTGTGCCAATCTAAGTCACTAAGTCTCAGCAAGCCAGCAGCCAACCCCGGAGATTCAGGCTGATTTCTGGCTGCAAGGCCCAAGTTGAGCTCCCTGACTGCCTGCAGTGTTGAACCCTGCAAGTTTGTACAGCAGGTTCCAGCTGCCCTTCCTTTTAAGATAGTCAAGTTTCCAGTGGGAGGTGGTGATCCCTCCAATTCACCAACTATGGTGTCCTGGTATGCCTCTATTGCAGAGATTCTTTTTACTTTTCCAGCGGACTTCAATTTTCATCAAGGAGCCTGAGAGAGGCCCTTTTTTCTGTTTTTCGCTTCTGCTCTAGTTTTTGCAGCTCAGGACAATGGCCTTTATGACCCCCTGTACCTCTTTGGTGTGGATCCAGCCAAGTCCAGAGGCAGGGTTGAGGGGCAGGGGGAGGGGCAGTGGCACTGGCGTGGTGCTGCAGGTGCCTTCATGGCTCTGCTCCCTCCTTGGAGGCCCAGGTTGGTGGTTGGACAGAAGCTCAACTCCACAGGGCTCAGCTCCTCACCTGTCTGCTGTGGCTTGGAAACCTGGGGTGGGGGTGGCCACAGTAACATAATATACAAAAAAAAATAAATAAACCTATTACCATGCACTTAGCTTTGAGAGGGAGACAAGAAAGTTGACGATTATTATATAGGATGATTTCCACTATCACTAATACAATCACAGCATCTATTATCTCAATGGAATGGGATATTTTTCATGCATTTCACCTATCCAGTGACATTTGCTTTTACCTTCTTTTGAGGATTTCACAGAGATATGATATTGCATTATCTTTATACAGATTCATTGTGCTCACTGCTACAATGTTATTTGGGTGGTGTTTTTCTACTAAATATGACTATTTCCCACATTTTATAAATATCTCCAATCTCATTTGAAGTGAGGGATTCCTTTACCTTTTTATCTCCTCCTTGCAGATGAAATTTCCTCTGTAACTTTTTGCTGTTTGGAGATGGTCACCCATAATCCTGCAATGAGAGACAGAGAGAAGAGCCACTGGCTCAGTTGTGATCATGTGACATTCAGCATCATATACTGTTCATGGCAAGACATTGTTAGATTGTCAAGTTAAATTTTATTAGAAATGTTTAGCTTGTGTAACATTCACAGAACAAGTTACAATCCAAGGTTTACTGTACTTGGTTTCAAATGCCACTAATCTCTTCAGCAGCCATATCTGTTTTGGCTTCAAATTTATACATGGTTCTTTTCATGGCAAAACTTTTTCAAATTTTTCTACTCTGCTTTTTGTCCCCAATTCTATTAATCTGGCTAAAAGCAGCCAGCAGAACCTGTAACATGTTGTGAATATTGGTGTGCCTGGAAATTTCCTCTGCCAGATTATTTAGTTCATGATCATCAATCTCAGTCTCCTGCAAAGTCTCAGGACATGGACAAAAGGAGTTAAATTGTTTTTCCATAATATAACATGAGTGGTCTCTAGTCCCATTCCTGAAATAATTCTAATTTTTTTACTACTACCTGATGATTCTGGCCTTTACTATCTGCATTTTTTGGTACTGGGGATCCAACTCAGGACCTTGCACTTGCAAGGCAGGTAGCACCATCACTGAGCTAAATCCCTAGTCCCATACTATCTGCATTCTTATAAACATTTTAGTCTTCTAAGCTCTGACCAGAATCAGCCATCAAGCTCTGCTTACAACCATCTAAGCTTTCTCCAGCCTGATTCTTCAAAATTCTCTAAACCAGTTTAAAAGTCTTTTGAACCACTTGTCAAGGCACAGTTACAGCAACAATCTCTCTTCTCTGGTATCAATTTTTTGGATTAGTCAGGCTTCACATCACTGAGATAACAATGCCTAAAACCTACAATTTAAGTTTAACTTGGCTCATTGTTTCAGAGGATTCATGGATAGCTACTACCAAGGCAGACACATCATGTGCAGAAGGGTGTATTATAATTAATTTACAGTGGCCAGAAATTAGAGCAAGGAAACTGTACCAGAGGGAGGGAGCCAGGGATCATATATAATACACAAGGTTATACCTCAGTGACATGACCAGAAAAATGCTTATTGTATGTGGCCAGCATTACTCTGTTATCATAACTAGAAAAGGGCACAACAGTTAAACTATTGGCCAATATTCCTGATGAACAGAAATACAGAAATTTTTGGAAAAATATTAGCAAATTGAATGCAACAGCACACAAAAGCAATCATGCTAATCAAATTGATTTTGCCCCAGGAATGTAAGGATGGTTTAGTGTATGAGGAGCAATACAAGTAATATACATCAAATCAAGAAAGGAAGGGTAAAAATTATATGGTCATCTCAGTAGATTCAGAAAGAGAATTCAATGAAATTCACATTCTCTTTTCATTAAAAGCTCTGGAAAAGTTATCTATAGAAGGATCATGCCCTGACATAGTCTATAATTAATATGTGAAAAAACTATAATTAACATAACTTGAATGGGGGAAAATTGAAAATGTTTCCTCCAGATTAGGATCAAGACAAATATATTCACTTCTATTCTATTATTCCACAAATTATTAAGGGTTTTAGCCAGGACAGTTAGTCAAGAGAAAAAAAATAAAAGCCATACAAGTAAAGGAGGAGTAGAACAATCTCTGTTTGCATACTATATGATTCTGTGCATAGAAAAGAAACTAAGATTCCCCCAAAAGATTGTTAGAACTGATAAATTCAGCAAAGTAGTAGGACATAAAATCAATGTACAAATATTAGTAGCTTTTCAATACACCAATAATGAATTTTCTGAGAAAGAAAGCTTGAAAGCAGTATCATTTATAGAGTGATTTAAACCAATTAAGTGAAAGACATCTGAAACGAAAATTACTGAACATTGATGAAAGAAATGGAGGAAGACACACACACAAATCTGAATGAACCTCCATGTACATGGATTGAAAGAACCAATATTACTATAATCTCCATAATGCCCAGAGCAATCTAGCGATTCAGTGCAATCCCAATCAAGGTACCAATGCCATTCTTTGCAAAACTAGAAGAAACAACCCTAAAAGTTAGAGTGAAAGAAAAAAGTACAAATAGCTAAAGCCACCTTGAGCAAAAAGGAAAAAAGACATAGTATAGGTAATAATAACAAGAACAGCATGGTAATTAGGCATTAAAACAAACTAAACAGAGATCTGATGTATTAGAGTAAACCCATGCACATACAAATAACTGATTCTTGGCAGAAACATACATTGGGGAAAAGAGCCTTTTCAATAAATGGTGCTGGCAAAACTGGATATCCTCATGCTAAAGGCTGAAAGTTTCCCCCTCTCTCTTACCCTATATGCAAAAATCAACTCAAGATGGATCAAAGACCTAAATGTATGACCTGAAACTACTACATGAAGTATATGAGAAACATTTAAAAACAATCATACAGGCAATGATTTTCTGGATAGGAAACAAAAGTAAAAATTGACAAATTGACAAATGGGATTATGTGAAACTACAGCACTTGGCACAACAAAGGAAGAAATCAACCAAGTGAAAAAATAGCATACAGAATGTGAGAAAATATTTGGCATCTATTCAACTGACAGAGGTTTAATATTCAGAATATATAAGGAACTCATAAAATGTTTAAAAAATAAATAACCCAAGTAATAAATGTACAGATGATTGGGACAAACACTTCTCAAGTGGCCAAAAAATATAGAAGAAAATATTCATTTTCATGATGGAAATGCAAAGCAAAACTATAGTGACATATCATCTCCCCCTATTTAAAATATATTACTCTTAAACCCCAGCAAATTCTAATAAGGCTAATAAATAATGCTGTTGGCAGGAATGTAAATTAGTACAACCAGAGAACTGTATGGAGATTTCTCCAAAACCTAAAAGGAGATCTAGCGTATCATTCAAGTACCCCACTTCTGGGTAAATATCCATAGAAAAGCATGCAAAAACAAAAAAAAAATATCCACTGACAATCGTGGAGTTGGAATTTAGAGTAGTATGAAGACCTTTGTACACCAGCAATGCTCGGGACATGCAGGGCCATGTTTATTGTGGCAGCATTCACCATAGCTACAAGATGGGATCAGTGTAAGCGTCCATCAACAAATGGATGAAAATTATGTTATATTTACAAAATGGAGTATTTTTCAGCCATAAAAAAATGAAATCCTGTTGTTTACAGCAAAACTAATGGAATTGGAAGGCATCATCATAAGTGAAAAAAACTAGACCCAGAAAGACAAGTGCCGCATGTTCTTTCTCATATGTGAAAGATTTTTTCTAAGTTGACCTGAAAATAGAAAAGTAGTAATGGGAGATTAGGCCGAGTGTGGGAAGAGGTTGTGCAAAAAGGAAGGTTTCATTTTATCATGTTGTATGCCTTTGTGGAAATGGCACATTGAACTTCTTTAACATGGACATTTAATGTGTTCATTAAAAAAATTTTAAGATAAAGTGAGCTTCCAGTAGGAACAAAGGGATAACACCATGGCATACATCCTGCACCTCACTCTGCAAGAACTGAGTTTGATGGTGCCAGGAGCCTTGATGCGGGCACTCTCCAGCAAGAGGCCAGTATGGACAAAGATCTTCCTCTGGGATTTTCAGGTCTTGAATATATTTCACATTTTTCTATCCTAATCTATAACTCCCATGGACTGTTACTACAAATCTGCACAGCATTTCTCCTCTTTGTCCAGGACAAGTTTAGAAATGGAGAAAGAATTAGCCTTTTGTCCTGAATTGGGAAGTAAACAGGCTTGGCTCTAACATTTAGTTCCCAGGCAAGCATAGAGATAGATATCAGAAACAGTGAAGTAGTCAGTCCAAGCCAAGCCACCCCTAGGCAGGTGTCTCCAATCCACTAACTCTGCTTACATCTCACTCTTATGGTTAGAAGGCCAGATTCAAACCCAGAATTACTAAATTCATCAATCAGAGTCTTGAGACACTTATAACAATGATAATGTTAGCCAATATTGATTGAGCACTTTCATCAGGTCCTGGTCTTAGCGTTTTAAACAGTCACACTTTAAAATTTTAATTAATTGATATATTCTCTCAATATATTTCTAATTATTTTCTTTTCTGTATCATGTTATATTAGATGTAGTAATTTTTCATTATTTTAACATTTAATATGTTGATATTTAGTGGAACTCTAAGAGAATATTGCGCCATCCTCAGTGGAGGAAAGATAGCCTCTTTAATAAATGGTGTTGGAAAAACTGGATATCAACCTGCCACAGATTAAAATTAGACCCTTATCTTTCGCCATGCACTAAATTAAAATCCAAATGGATTAAAGATCTAAATATTAAAACAGAAACATTAAACTTGCTGGAAGGTAAGTTAGGCAGAACTCTGGAAGACATTGGTATAGAAAAAGACTTTATGAACAAATCCTCAGTAGCACGGGAACTAGCAGAAAGAATCAACAACTGGGATCTCATATTACTAAAAAGCTTCTGTACTTCAAAAGAAACCATTAGCAGAACTAAGAGACAATCTACAATGTGGGAAAAAATTTTTACCAGCTGTACCTCAGACAAAGGACTATTATCAAGGATATATAAAGAACTCAAAACAATCAGTCCCCCCAAATATAAAGACCCAATCCAAAAATGGGCATCCGAAATGAACAGACATTTCTCATACAAAGAAGTAAAAGCAGCAAGAAAATATATGAAAAAATGTTCCACATCACTGGTCATTCGAGAGATGCAGATGAAAACAACACTGAGATTCCACCTCACCCCACAAAGAATGGCTGCTATCAAGAAATCACACAATAACAAATGTTGGCGGGGTTGTGGGGAGAAAGGACCCCCCCTCCATTGTTGATGGGAGTGCAGACTAGTGCAACCACTATGGAAATCAATATGGAGATACCTCAAAGAGCTTGGGCTGGATGTTCCATTTGACCCAGCCATCCCTCTGCTGGGTATCTTTCCAAGAGAACTAAAAGCATCATATCACAGAGAAGTATGTGCACCCATGT